TTGGGTTTGAACTACCAAGCTTGCAGTTAGCAGTCCAATGCTTATCCTACAGCACCACACCAGGACTACCCTATACAGGGTTTCCTAGACTGTACATTTTTACAAGACCATACAGCCTCATCTTTCTCCCTTGTAACAGCTGGTGGGTTTGATCCATCACCTTTTCCCTTAGCAGCCCAATACCTAACCACGGTGCCACTAGGGATTCCTTCTCAAGGACACACCTGTCCTAATACTTATCCTTGAATCTGAATGAAAGAAACATTGGTGTTGAAAAAGAGCAACTAAAAAAACTCACTTCCATCGAATCAATTCCAACTTGTAGATAGGATTTCTGAGGCTATAAATATTTATGGGAAGAGAAAGCCTCAGTTTCTCCTGCACAGCGACTGGTGGGTTTGAACTGCTGACTTTATGGTTAGCAGTCCAGTTCTATCCCACAGCAACACCATAGATCCTTTACTAAAACATATCTGTGACTTTTCACCCTCTACCAAATACATTTTCTTATCAACCTACACTGCTAGATACAAAATGTGTCTTAATTTTTATGGATAGGGGAAGTGCATTAATTTAGGAGCTGAGGAATATAAAACTCTTAGCAAATGCGGCACCGTCTTGAATATTTTACATCGCAGAGTTGGCGTGGGTGTTGCACTTTCAAAAATTTCACTAGAAAATGGTTCTCTGAATGATCTTTACAGGTGACTCACAAGTTACCAGTAACTGTTTCATTTCATTGCAGCAATATACTTCTTTTTTCACAGAGACTATAATCACTATACCTGGTCGTATGAAGGACTTGCTGTTTTTTCCTTAATATTTTAATGACAGCAAAGTGATATTCCAATTGAATGATTTAGGGAATTTTACTATAAATAGAGTAGATTTATTAATATTAGTGTCTTTGGTGAGTAAGCTATATACTGAATCTGTAAGATAGTCTCTTTTTCATTCCATCTCTTAAGAGAAGTAAGTAAATTGAATGAAGTGGATGATGTGTGTTTTTAGTTATAAAATAGCTTCAAAACTTAATTAATGGAAAATATGCATGATATGATGTACGCTCTTTTAAAAAAGATGATCATATTCTTAGTTTATGAAAATTCTTTTAATCTAAAGCATTTTAAAGCTGACAGATGTGTTTTGCTTTTGGTCTTCTTTTTTCACTTCCTTTTTTCTCCCACCCCTATTATAGGAAAAGTGCAAGGAATTTCAACTTGCCCATGTGCAAAGCAGCAGAAACCACAGTGGTAGAGGTAAGGGAACAAGAGGGTATTTTATTGAGAATTTCAAAACTTGATATTGTGTCTTAGTTAAAGAAAAACTAAAACAACTTATTTGATTTGTGGGGACAAGCAATGATGCTTTATCTCTTAAGTAGATTTTTATTTGTATATGGAAGGATTCTATTAAACATAATAGTTGAACATTTGTTGAAATGTTAGCTTTTGGGTTACCTATAACCTCAATAGAAGGTACTCTTTAAGAATTAGGCCATGAGACCAGCCATTGGTGCCTAAATGGAACAAACATTACTGGAAAAAATGACTTTTTCATATAGAGAATCCCAGGAAAATAGTAAGTTGAATCAGGAGAAGCATGTTATTTTTCTGTGGAAGCTATTGTAAAATCTTTAAGGAAAGAGGAGGATGGTACAAATAATTGCTTTGATGTGACTTTGTTTGGAACCATTAAATCAAAGCACCAGTTCACTCTCCTTTTGGACTCTTTGGGTTTGAAGGAGGCTTGCATAGTTCTCCACCACTCGGCTGTCAGTTTGTCATACTGTGGTGGCTTGCATGTTTCTGTGATGCTGGAAGATACGCCACTGGTATTTTAAATACTAGCAGGGTGACCTATCAGCAGAACTTCCAGATTAAGACACACTACAAAGAAGGACCACTTAGAGCCTTTGCAGGCTTAAGGATTTGGGATCAAAATAAGTGCTTAGACCAGAAACCTCTCATTTTGAATATATGTATTTGAACTCCAAGGGAAACATCAAAATAGACTGGAATCAAAAAGTTCTAATCATATTGGAACCACATTCTCATGAGAGTTCGAAATAGCTTTCCTTCATCAGGTTTTTGTTGTTAGGTGCCATCGAGTTGGTACCGACTCATAGCGACTTTATGCACAGCAGAATGAAACAC